AAATAGATGCAATCTTTCCAATTGCTTCCCTCAAATTTGAAAATTAAATATTATTTTCAAATAAATTTTTAATTGATAGTTTCCTTCTTTTCAATATAATTTTTTTATAAACAAATAAATAATATATAACATCCTCATTTGTATAATAATATAATATTAATAGACATGTTTATATTAATATATAAAAAGTAAAGTGAGATAGACAAAAACTAAAAAATATAATCTTTATCGATGGCTCAATTTGACTACGAGGAGAAATTCCGTGTAACAGCTCAAGTCCACCACTAATCGATAGTATCCCCTTTGATCTGTTATATGTCATTGTCTGCCCCACGATTTTAAAATATATCTACTCCGGAGAGGTTTCCACATTTTTATATAAGAAATATTTTATTTTTCTCTCTAATCGATATGGGATCTAACACTCTACCACCTTTGAGCCCTGCGTCTTTGTTGGAATACCACTCGGTATCTGACTCTAATACCATTTGTAACAACTTTCGTTCCCCTGACATGAGATCTTACATACCACCTCCTTGTAGGGCAAGCGCCCTCATTGATTTTGATACCATTTGTAACAGTCTTCGTTTCCCTCGACGTGGGATCTCACAATCCATTCCTTGGGGATTCAGCAATACGATTTGTAACAACTCAAAACCCGCCACTAGGAAATATTATCCGCTTTGACCTGTATGGTCATCACCCTTACGGTTTTTAAAACGTGTCTACTAGGGAGAGATTTTAACGCCCTCATAAGGAATGTTTCGTTTCTCGATGACTTTCGGGATTAAATGGATATATATATACACAATACTCTCTTTCTTTCTTTTTAAAGCCAAAGCCTCTCAAAACTCCCTCGCCTTCTTCTTCTTCAAAAGATAAAAGCTCAATCTCACAGTCATTTGTTCTACAAATTCAAAAGCTAAAACCTTTATCTCTCTCCAATGGAAAAAAGATTCAAACTCCGATTCTCACGCATATTCCAATCCTCCTTCTTCTCATGCCGCTCCAAAAAGAACTCCGACATCATCATCACAAGCCAACCCATTCCCATTCCCATTTCCACCCCTCTTCAAAGCCTCCCTTTACTCCCTTCAAAACCCACCAATATTTCATCAAAACCCCCTCTATTTCCCCCTAATTCTTTTCTCGCCCCTCCCGCCACTCCCATTTCGCCCCCTCTTTCCCACCTCAAAGACTGTTTATCTCGCCACAAGACCAAACCCAAACCCAAAACCAAGAATTCCACTAAAATCAATAGAAAAAAATACCCCACCAGACCTACAACGGCGCCCACGACGGAGGACTTCGGCGGCGCTTGGTGGTACGGTGGCGACGACGAAACAGAGGATGAAACAGAGACTCTGTTTTCTTCCCGGAGTTTAACGTCCAATTCCTCCGTGTCGCGACTCCGCCGGCGGCGGCATAGTCGCCGGAGATCAGAGAAGAAAGTGAAAGATGGGTTTTTCGCGGTGGTGGAAAACTCCTCCGATCCATACAAGGATTTCAAGGCGTCAATGGCGGAGATGGTGATTGAGAGAGAGATTTTTGGTGGGAAAGAATTGGAAGAGCTTTTACTGTGCTTTATTTCGCTTAATTCTCGCCATTATCATAGAATTATTTTTGAAGTTTATTGGGAGATTAAAGAAGCTCTTTTTTTCTCGGATTTAGGATTTAAAAATTAGTCCATCTTTCTCTATCGTTGAATGTATTAAAGAAAATATTGTATTTCCAGTATATATCCAACGATTATTAGAGACTACTTTATTTTAAATATCTCCAATTCAATATTCAATATTTATTTATTTATTCTAAATTTTTATAAACCTAAGATTTGGCCATGCTTTTTGAAAGCATTGTATTATTCTTTTTAGGTTGATGTTTGGATAAAAGTTGGATCTTTTTATGTGTTTTATTTTACTTTTCAACCGCTTTTTGACTTAATTTCCAACCCTTTAAACTTTTTTTTTAGGAATAACATTATCCACAATGGTATGATATTGTCAAGAATCTTGTTGTCTAATATGGTATTAGAATCATGCCTGTCCGAGTCGGTTAATTTAGGAATGATCATGGTTTTATAATAAATAAAAAAAATACTCTATTCATTGATGTGAGACTTTTTGTGGAAACCCAAAATAAAGTCATGAGAGCTTATGCTCAAAATAGACAATGTTATATAATTGTGGAGAGTCGTGTTCGTCTGATCATTAACCTAATTCAGCTAAACTGATTAAACGAATAAAAATAAATTTGAAAGAGGGTAGCAAATAGGGGTAAGAATAAGATAAGAGTATGAGGAAATAGGCAAAAGAGGGCCAAAAAGGGTTTGTTTCATAGTTGAGAAAGAGGTTGATACGTCTTGACAAAAGGATTGATAAGTCAGTCTCAATCGAGGAAGAGAAATTCAAAATGGGCACAGTGGAATGTTACCTTATTGCTATCTCTGCATATGAAACAACGTGAAATCCAAAGTCCTTTCCTTTGTTCCCTTTGATTGGCTTCAAGATAAAATCAAAAACCATTTTGAAATGCCAAGTTTGTATTTTTTTTTTTTTTTTTTAGTATGATATTACATCGAAATCTCATACATATATATGCAATAAAAGTCTCGAGATATTTAAATAATTTATTTTATTTTTCAATAAAAATTGACGGTATGAAAGTGACATATGTCTAGAGGCTGTAAGTACATGAAAGTAATGTGCGTAGAGCCGAAGTGTATGTATATGATAGTGATACATACCTAAAGAAGCTTAGGATGCATGAAAGTGATGTGGGTTTAAAGAGTTTGGTGGACATGAAAATGATCTACATGAAACCATGTGTATGTAAACTGGTAAGCACGTGACACTCGTGTAGAAGGATATATGAATGAATCGAGACCATTGCGCAAGATTTTTAAAATATATAGAGAGGTTTCTACCATGTCCTCACAATCCACCTATCGATATTGTCCGTTTTGGCCTCACAACGTGGGAGTAGGAGAGAGGGAGTGTACAAATTGGGGAGAGAGAAAGTAGACAGAGAATGTGTGTTGTGAGTTTTATGGCAGACGCTTTTGCTGAACTGTTGTCTGAACACTTGCCTTCATTGGGCTTTGGCTTCTTTTAATACTCGAATTTTTTGGATTTTCGAGCCCAACTTTTTTATTTTCTGCTTTATGTCTCTTTCGATAAGACAGCCAGCCCAAAAACTTCATTTAATTCAGCTTTTAATTCTTCGCAAACAAAACGAGGACATGGGCCTGGCCTTTTTTCCAGTTAATGGGTCGGCCCATATTCATCGTTTTCGATCCTGACAAATTCTATTTACTCTGCCTCACGTGGCGGATTCCCATTTGTTGGATTGGAAAATTATCCAGTGGAACTGTCACTGTCCGCTCGATAGGGGCTGCCTGACGCTCGCCAAGAAAAGTTCGCTTTCTGCTTCAAAATTTATTTTCGGTTTACACCACGTCACAAAATTCATTTTTATTTCTCGAAAATTCTTATATATATAATAGGTTATGGAATAATTGGTTAATGGTTATTCTATCAATATAATATTAATTATAATTCTATATATAAATAATTTATCGTTAAAATAATTGAGTGCTTTATTATTTTATAATTTTCCCAATTGAGTTTTGAAAAAACAGAAATTTTTAAAATCAAATGGTTATAAAATCGCACTTTTAAAGGGATTGTGGGGCACTCACTTTCTAAAATCGCACTTTTAAAGGGATTGTGCGGCACTCACTTTCCAACGACAAGTGAGCTAAGCCAATTTGTTCTTGCGTCGCCTACGGCCGTATGATCGAGCCTCTAGCCTTGGTTTTGAAAGAAGGTTTTAGAAAACAAGGGTAGAGAGAGATTTTTGAAAAAGACGTTATATAAGCAAGCAATGCGTCAATTATGGTCTGCTCGAGTGAGTAATTTTTAAAATCAAATGATTATAAAATTAGGTCTAATAAAAAGACATTTCCCTTTATCACCATTGATATAGTTATGTTGTGTCACATGAAAAAGTTAGCTGTTTTATAATTGAGTCACGGAAAATGATGAATTAAATGAAACACAATACTTAAAAATAAATATTTATTAATAATTTTGAGGAACAATTTGTCCACAAAATTAAATAAAATCAAAAGATTCCATCCTCAATTATTACAACAACAATCCTTTTCATTCGTAACGGAAGGTAATTTAGGATAACAAAATCCAGCACCTTTATTTGCACGAACGCAATCATCATAACACGAATCATCGTCAAAAGCGCCAACACACGGACGAATACATTCCATGAACATGTCGCCTTTTGCTGCAAGTAATCAAAGGATTAAATGTTATTTTAGCAAAAAAAAACAACAAAAGAATATAGAATTAAAAAGATGGCAAGATAAAAACACTTACCCGATGAAGCAAAATAGAACATCATCATGACAATAGCGAAAACGGTAAAGAGCTTTCGGGATGCCATGACTCTTAGATTTGAATGCTTATGCTTCTGTGGGATTGTTAGTTGAGAAGACGGTGTGTTTCAAAATGGAAGGTGAGGTTATTTATAATGTATTTTTGTGTACCTATTTAAAGCATTTTCTAGAATTAAAAACGCTACGGTTGTTAAACAAACTAAAAATATACTTAGAAAAAGAAAAAAAAAAAAATACAACAAACTATACTATTTTTAGTTTCACCTAATATATGAAATTTCTTTAAAATTATGATGACACCAAATAAAATAAAATTTAGCCAAAAAAATATTAAAAATTATTGAAGATGATTGAAAGTGAGTCCCACATTGGTTAATTTAGTGGAACATCATGAATTTATAAGTGAGAATACTATCTTTTTTGTTATGGGTTACTCAAAGTAGACAATATCATTTAACTCACCCTAGAAAACTGTTATTTTTTCTAATATAATTTAAAATTTATGTTTAATAAAAGTCTAAAATGTAAATTTATAATAATTTTAAAAAATAAAATATATAATTTTAAAATTGAGCACATCGACAAAGGAGCGTGGCAAGCGGGAGTTCCGGACATGTTACAGGGGGAGGGGATTCGATAATGGCTATGGGATTGCAGTTTACCGCCGCGCCGACGCTCGCTGTCAGACCTGAAATTCTCAGTGCTAGGGTTGGAAACAGGCTCGAGGCTTAAGTGCGCTCTCCATTTCATGGCAGCCTAGGGAAGAAGACGTATTCGTAATCGTTGCGTTCATGACACAACTGTAAGTTTCTTCTCTTTCTTGATGATCTCATTTTATTCGGCCTATCGTGCATCTCGGAGACCAATTTGAATGAACTATTGCAAATTTGTTATTCTGCGCAGTATATTTTTCAATTTGATTCTGTCGTATTTAGACGGTGATGTGGATGCTTCAACATTTAGGCTTCAGATTGTTGGAATTTGAATCATATATGTGCGTTGTGGTAGGAGGAAAATGATGGAAGCTAATTTTCTTAGAACATTCTATTTTGAAACTTTGGCGTAACCATAGGGCCAAATTTGTATTTGAAGGAAAAACCAATATGATTTTCAAAAGAAGATTTGTGTAATCATGCGTGGAGTAGTGAGTAGGTCATAATATCATTAGCATTTTCTTGTAAACAGGGCGTAGACCTGCTGTATTCTGTATAGTTTAGAGCTTTGAAGTGTTAAAAACGCCACCATTTGCCATGGGCTTCTGAAAAAGACCAAGATGAAGAATTGAAGGAAGAGGAAGAAGAACATCGATTCTAAAAACGAAGAGGTTGGCAAGCCAGAGATGTTTAGTTGTTGAATGCCAAGTTAAGTATCTTTTATTGAGATATTGTCTATTTTGACTTGTTACGTATAGTTGTAAGTGATTTGCCCACCCCTAGTACATATGTTCTGTTTTGGCCGGTTACGTATTGCTGTTTGCCTCACAATTTTAAAACCCGTCGAAATGTTTGGCATGTTACGTATTGCCATAAGTGATTTGCTCACCCCTAGCAGATATTGTTTGTTTTGGCTTGTTACGTATTGGCGTCAGCCTCACGATTTTAAAACGTGTTTTTCAGAGTTACGCAACAGAACTGGTACTCATCCAGATATTGTCTTCTTTTGGTTTTCCCTTTCGATTTTTCCCTCAAAGTTTTGGGCTTCCTCATTACGCGTAGAGAGGTTTTCATACTCTTATAAGAAATGTTTCGTTCTTCTCCCTAACCGATGTGAGATATCACGGAAAATGACTATATTTTGGTTGATATTTCTTAGTTCCCTTTGAAATCTGAAACTCTTTCCACGTGATTTGGTTGCAGGCTGTTACTATTTGTGTACTATATACCAAAGAACTAAAGTCACTTATGAACAACAAGTACAGAATTGCAGTTGGAGTTTCGTGCCTGTTGGACATGAGGTAGAAACTTTCTCCACTTCATTTGCTGCAAATCGGTAAGCTTTTGTAAACATTTCTGTTAGCGTTAGTTTGCTTCATTTTTGGTCACACAAAAATGATGATATCCTCAATTCAACGGCTTTCAAAAACTTATTCCAATTGGTCATAGGGGTAAATAAACTATGATGAATTCCACATATCAGCCACTTCAGCTGCTTTCTTCTGTGTCATCTCAAACAGAGAGGGGAATCTGTATTTTAGGACCAAACCTTTGTCTCGAATCTAATAATTCCATAACTTTAGAATATGTATAACAGTCTAAGTCCACCGCTTTCAGATACTGTTTACTTAAGCTTGTTATGTATCCCCGTTAGTCTCATGGTTTTATAACGCGTTTGTTAGATAGAGGTTTCCACACCCTTATAAGGATGCTTCGTTCCCCTCTCCAATCGATGTGAGACCTCACAGCATGTATCATAGAATATGTGTAACAGTCCAAGTCCACCGCTAGTAGATACTGTCCACTTTGACTTGTTACGTATCGCCATCAGTCTCACGGTTTTACAATACGTCTGTTAAGGAGAGATTTCCACACCCTTATAAGATCCAAATTTGAGTTTGTGCTCTTTTATGCCAATGGATAACAAAAAAAAAAAAGTATCTCTCTCTAACACTGTATGAAGATAAAGCAGGAAGAACTTCATAACTTTTTAATCCATACATATAATTTTTCTATATCTATGATTATCTAGATCGTGCTAGTATCATTGATAACCATTTGAACCTACTCTTGGGATATTAAATTTTTGATAGATGACTATCATGACTTGAACTCATTTCTTCCTTATCGACCGCTAGGTCGATCCAGGATGAACGGGGCCTCTTATCTTACATGTTGGAACTATTCTAGCAAATTCACTGGCTCGTGAAAAGGGCCCACATCAATTATTGAGTGGGAGTATCTGATCCTCCACAATCAGATGATGTGTAAAGCAGAACCTTTTGATGTGGAAAAGTTTTGTCACAATCCGCCAATCTCGAAAGCACCTAAAAAAAATAAAAAATAAAAAACTATAGTTTTGATCTTCTGATTTGTATTTAAATTGTGGAAGATACTGATATATCCTAGAATGGCAACATCATCATGTTTATAATGTGATTAACAAATCTTTTGCTCTTTTAAATTCTTGAATTTCCATACTTCTTGCAGTCTGCAGATATGGCCTCCAATGGCAGCCTTAGCGTTGTGGTTTCCACATCTCCTAAACACGACAATAGAGATGCCGAAACTACGAGGTCCAGTTCGCCGAAAGGCCAGTGTTTGTGCTCGCCCACGATGCACCAAGGCTCCTTTAGGTGTAGGCTTCATCGTTCGACATCGTCGGCGTGGATGAAACGATCGAAATCAATGCCTGCCAACAAGCCTGTGGCTTCTCTGTCTCCCAGAGAAACTCTTGGATCTTCCTAATGGTATGCTCATGAAGCAAAATACATGTAACATGCCTTAAGCTTATGTCCTTATTCTCTAAAGTTGTGGAGAAAGAAATAAGGGTTTTAATTTATCTCAACTTTATATGAAATGGAACTATATAATACGTTTGTGTGCTCGTGCGCAAGCGTTTATCTATGTTTTGTTCTTTGCTCGATAACTCATCGTTCTTGTTGCAGATTTGGCATGTAGAGTAGACTGATCTTCTTCATCCGTATATATTACTGTTGAGATCTTAGGTAACAGGACACTTGATCTAGATCATTAACTAGATCAACGGTCTGAAACCGTTACGTTCGGCTTCTTAGTTCCAAGATTAGTTCGTTTGTGCACCTTTTTTTTTCCCCTTCTTTTAGAAGACATGGATTTTCAGCTAAACTTTGCTTGCATAAACGGTTGAATTTTTCGTCTCTCTATCAACTTTGACTTTTGAATCTTTCACAAATCTAGCTTCTAGAAGACTAATGTGAGATTCTACGTCGGTTGGAGAGGGGAACGAAACATTCCTTATAAGAGTGTGAAAACTTCTTCCTAGTAGACGCATTTTAAAACCGTGGAGCTGACGACGATACGTAACAAGTCAAAGCGGATAATATCTGTTAGTAGTGGGCTTGAGGTGCTACAAATGATATCAGAGCCAGATATGGTGTGTTAGCGAGAATGCTAGGCCCCAAGGGGGGAAAATTGTGAGACCCCACATCGGATGGAAAGGGGAACGAAACATTCCTTACAAGAGTGTGGAAACCTCTCTTGTAGATGCATTTTAAAACCGTGAGGTTGATGACGATACGTAACGGAATAAAGCAGACAATATCTACTGCAGTGGGTTTAGGTTATTACAACGGAGGTGTCTTTTTATGAACATATTGAGAAGAAAAAGCAAATAGCCATGGCCTACCCCTTTAGAATAAGGGTGAGAATTGAGTTTAGGTGGTTAGATTATATTTCTATCTCTTTTAATTGTCAACCTTATTGGTTATTATCTTTCAATTATTGCAGCTCCTTACACATTCTTTGTCAAACCCAAAATTTGTCTGGTTTTTTGTCTGCTAATTTTATCTTTCGTCTCAATTTTAGTTCTCTTTTTTTATTTTTTATTTTCTTTTGAATATCGGAAGAATCAGGCGAGGTTGGTGTTTTTTTAATTTATTTTGTCGAAGTTAAGACCTCTTTTTCGTGTTGTTGTGAGCCAATGGATAAGGTCTATAATGATGAATAGAGATATCTATTTAATAAAAGAGATAAAGGAGGGAGTGGAGAAAGATTTCTTCCCGTTAGATAAATGGGGCTAAAGACGAGGATTATATTTTTCGTTCCCCATCCTCGACTTACCCCATCCCCATCTTGCTTTAAAAGAGACTTTTTTAAGTTTCGTATATTTTCAAGGATGAGGAAAACTTTTAATATTCCATTCTAAAGGTTCGAACTTGCTAATATCTTCTTTTATTTATTTGATTTGTGGTATTTTCTTAAATTTTAAAAATATGTTATTAGATCTTGTCGTTATAATTTAGGCTATTTAAATATATTTTTTAGACTCTTTTGAAAGAATATTGAAACTTTTAATGTATTTCCAAGACTATATAAAATTAAATATTTTTATTAATTTAGTCAAATACCCATTAAAAATTGACTATTATATATAGAGAGAAGGTAAGTTGACTACAAATTACGTAGAATTTAATTCATCTCATAACTTCCAAATAAAAACAAACATTTTGTTTTCTTTCTCCATTTCTAAAACTTATATCGTTGAAAATTTGTAATTTTGGTCTAAAAACAACAATTAAATTATAAATTTAATTATTTTAAAAAATTATAAATTTCATTTCTATAATCTCATGAGAATTTATAAATAGCCATTATTGTATATAAAACTCTCCTAAATAGTAAATACTAATATTTTTTAAAAAAATTGTACTATCTAAATAATAAATTTGTAATTTAATAAATAAATAAAATTAAAATACGGAACTTCAGGCCACGAGGCAGCCTCTCAAATTGCCCGTCGCCTTCCCACGTTAAGTCGCAATCGTAAGCGTGTCCAAGTCAACGAGCCGCCAACTCAGTCAAATTCGCGTTTTTGACTCGTCCAAATTCGCGTCCTGTTTCCTGGAAAAATCCCCAATTTTGTTAGTATAAAACCCTAATTTTCAATCTGAAAATCCAAATCAACTCCAATTTGAGGTTCTCTGTTATTTCCGATCTTCTTCTTATTCGAGAGAAGATAAATTTTGTTAACATTTTTCAGAGATTCTTCGCTTCCACTCGAGAATGATGAGTCCGATGAAGCTAACCGCCGTTCCGATCGTCGGTTTCGTGTTCTTGCTTCTTCTGAAATTGGCTTACAGTCACTCCCACGATATTTCCCCGGCGGCGGGTCCTTCGAGCGACGGTGAGTTTTCCGGCGAGTTCTGTCGTTGATTTTTCGTTAGACTAAAAATTTGGTGGATTTGGGTAAATTTTCGATTTAAAAAATTACAATTTAATTTCAGATTTGAAATTTAGTTTTGAATTTACTTTCGATTAAATTTTTTTAGTTGTTTTAGAATTATTCATAAAATTAAGATGAACACCCTCTCCACAAACCCCTCAAACAAAAGCATGCCTCTATAATCTAGGCTCGATTCCTTTAAAAATTTTATTCATTTTTTACTGAGTTCTAGAGGCTTTACCAATGGACCAAGAAAGAGAGTATCTTTTTTATAAATTGTTTATAAACTCGGGATCATTTCCAATAACTATAACGGATCATAAAAATAGAATTCAGAATTAAATTAAAAATTTTAAATTAAATTATAATAACCAAATTGAAATTTAATCTAAATTAAGGATTGAATTACAATTTATTATTGTTTGTTGTTGCAGGCGCTGCAATTGACCAAGGAATTGCTTACGTTCTTCTTATGGTTGCTCTCGCGGTTACCTACATTTTCCATTGATAATTCTTACGGCGTTTGGATATGTAAATTTTAGTTTCTTTTGTAGTTTTTTCTCCGTTTATTGGTGAAGAAATTGCTATTACAATATTTAAAATTCATTATTCTTTATTTACTTATAAATATAATTTGCTTTGTTAATTTGGGGATAATATAAGTTTATAGGGTACCAATAATTAAATCTGGTGGAATTACAAGAACGAGCTTTGAATTCAATTTTGGTTTAAATCTCAAAATTATTAACTTTGGTATAAAAATTATTATTAATTTATAGAGAAATCAAAATTTTTAATTTTTTTTTATGGATGATATAAACTTTAAATCAATTGAGTTATTGAATTATGTTGGTGGATACAAGTCCCACGTTCCCTAATTTAGGAAATGATCATGAGTTTATAATTAAATTACATTGGTGTGAGTCCTTTTGGAGAAGCCTAAAGCAAAATCATGAGAGCTTATAGCAAGGTGGACAATATCATATCATTTGGAGAGAATGGTATCAGAATCATGTCCTAAATTTAGCCCTGTCATTATAATCCTTAAATGTTCGAACAAAAAACTAAAAAAGAAGTATAGGAAAAATGACTAAAACTGCAAAAGAAAAAGAGTTGAGTCCCACAACACCACATCAGCTAATTTAAGTATTTCACACATCACCTATGTGAAGAGCAAAATCACTAGAGTTTATACACTCATAGCTAATCTAGCCACCCTACAACTACCTACCGGCTTCAAAATATATAATAATAATAATAATTAATATATAATAATAATAATAATAATAATAATTTGTGGATTTTGACATAAACACGATGAAATTAATCATTTAAACTTCTGCCACGTGTTACAATCTAATTAATCAAATTAATTGTAATTTTAATCATAGAGCTGCTATACATTTTAATATTTTAATATTATTATTTTGAAAAATTGAGAGATTGAAATTGGAGTTTTCGACTATGGGAATAAGAAGTAATTTAAATGTAAATTATTACAAATAAAAAGCCCATTTCCCATCTCAGCCCAATTTTCTTCTAATTATCCCAAACGGATCACCGTTACAAAACTAACGGTTCATTTTAATTACATGAAACCGCCATTGGAACAGCTTCCGAAATCACTTGCCAGATTTGCCTCGAAGCTTGACGCCCAAGACCTTCTCCATCTTAGCCAAAACGGCCTGATTCGGCACAGCCTTTCCATTCTCATACTCCTGCACCACCTGAGTCCGCTCGTTAATCTGCTTCGCAAGTTCAGCTTGGCTCATCTTCTTCTCCAGCCGCGCCTTCTGAATCGCATGCCTCACCTCCGTCGGTACCCGGTCGAGCGCCGCTGGCTCGGTTCCTTCCTCGAGCTTTCTCGCGTTCACCGGCGCTGCCGTGGCTTTCTTGTTCGAACCGGCGTCGAACTTCTTCACGGTCAGGACGGGCGCGCCGGATCGAATCGCTTGGTTCACGGCCTTTGGATCGCGAAGGTCCTGCGCCTTTGGCTTGGACTTGTGGAGCACTACAGGCTCCCAATCTTGAGATATGGCTCCGGGGAATCGGCTCGGCATTGGTAGATGAGAAAATGATCGATCGATTAGAAATTGATTAGTAAATGGAAGGATCTATGATGGAGTATGGAGAGATTTTGATCGATTTTGTTTTGAATGTCTATTGGATTGGGGCTTTTGGATTTTATAGCGGAGTTCTTCTCTGGAAAGTTCTATCTCGCTTTGGAGTGCTTGCTGTTTCTCGAACGTTCTTGAGGTTTCTATTTGGAAGACGATGACGTGGCACCTCGTTTGTTTATATTCGTCGGGTCTTTTTTTGGTGGGAATGAGATGCGTGCGTGGCAAGGATTGTAATTATTATAAATTTAAAAGTTTCTTTAATAAATATGAAAATTATTATAAATGAATTGTAATTATTTTTTTAATCGAGTCAATTTTTAAAAAACCGAGTATTCAAGAGAAACAAAAAAGAAACTCGGAAATAAAAGTTAAAATAGAAAGGCTAAAAATGTAATTTACGCCATATTTCAGTATAAATTATAAATTGATTATTCACGGAATTGCAATCGTTTTGGCGCCATTTTCAACCATTGCAATTTACGTTTACAATGCTCTCTCCTGTTCTAGCGAAGTTTCCACAATTTCATCGCGAAAAACGCGAAATCTTTGTTAACTTTCTTCCTAAAATCTCCGTTCGATAACAGAAGTTCCGAGCGGTGCCTCCTCCATTAGCCTGCGGTTCACTCGCTTTCCGGCGAAACAAAACTTTGTCGGTTTCGAGCAGTCGGCTATCCAAACCACCGCGGATTCCTCCCAGGAGATCAAGGAACCGACGCTCCACTGGAGAAGGTGTCTTGGAAGATTTTTCCGGCGATGGAGAAGAATAGAGGCTCTTCTCTCTTTTCGAGCATCATGCACAAATTTGTGAGAGTAGACGATAAACGCAAGGCGGATGAGAGGTAATGTTGAAGCTAAACTAACTAAGCCAATGCGTTTTTGGATTTCTAGTCGATGATAGACTACATTCTGTGTTCTCCATTCGTATCTTGTAGAATACTGTTTCTGTAACATTTTTGCATCGCCGTCTCTAGTTTTTGGAAAAATCAAATGCATTATAGACATGCTTTTCAATTTCGTAGATCGTTCTATGATTGAATTGCATTTTATTATGTCTTAGTGAATCCTGTAGAGACGAGGTTAAAAAATATTCATCTCAAAACGAGGTTCGGAAAGTTTCTTCTTAGTTACCTTGCATTTCTGGCGAGATTAGATCCAAAAGAAATTCCGAAACTAGAGATAGCTTCTATACATCACGGTAAACTCAACGTTGCAAATTTAAACGGACGTTGAACACCTGTCTTGAATATTGAAAGCGACGATGACCTTGTTGGACTAGAAACACCAGGCATGCGACCTTCTGTATCCCGTTCGAAGAGATCTCAATAGGTTTATCTTGAGGATTGGTAAAACTACCAAAACAGCTAAACTCCTTCATTACAAAATGAACTTGGCCAATATTCTCAATGAAGTTTCTGATGCAACCAGCAAACCTCTCAAATCAAAGATTCTAATGGTAGAAGGGCTGGCTATCCTCTTTATAATGATAAAACACTATATGTACCACCTGATGTGCTGAAGAAAATGTGTCAGTGGTTAGTTTATATTGTCCAACAGTATCATTGCATGAATTAGCTCCTGAAATTGATATATGTCTTTACTCTGAATAATTGTCGATTTCATTTTACCTGCTAAATTAGTGTATCTCCACAATTTGCAACCATATGAATTATTAATATCATTTGTACAAAGGTTAATTTGGAACTGTAATCTAAATGAGTTTTGTTATCCAGGATTTGGTTTTAATCGTTGAAATGATAATAAGTTTTAATCCATTTTGGATCCATTGGAAGCAGGGATGAAAAGGAAGAAAGAAGAAAATGGTGAATATGAATCTAGGAATAGGAATAGTAGTCTTCACCTTTTTAATGGACGACACTTTCTCCAAATTCAGGAATCGTTCTTGACTTTTGATTGAGATCTATATTTTCTGTGCTTTCTTCTAAGTACATGCACTGATAGATTAATAAGGTACAAAACATATTTTTCTCTATCTTAGTCACGATCCTCCCTCTTATACTTTGGTTATACTCCTAGGAGACTTTGCTTTGGTTGGTGGATGCTTTTCAATGTGTAATTGTACACTACCTTTATTTCATAAATCTAAGATTATGAAATCTCTTTTGCACATTTCAGGGCAAGTTCTATGAGCTTTATGAACAAGATGCTGAAATCGGTCTCAAGGAGCTTGACTGGAAAATGACATTAAGTGGCGTTGGGAAATGCAGGCAGGTTAGATAAAATTCTTCGACTTGTTTTTACCAGTCTATCTATTTCTTCATCTTTTAAGTTATGCATATATCAATGATATCCCAAAAGCTCGTTGCATGAGAGTAAGGATGTTGAGAACTCTGTCGTTTTGTTGATGATGTATCTGAAGTATAGAGAGAGCAAAGGGGACCAAACAGAAAATGAGTGAACCAGGGACATTATAGCTTAATAAAAACCTTCATGCAAATTTACTTCAGCATGATGTTTGTGTGCTATTTATTTTGAGCATGTAAGGTGAGGCTAACACTTTTCTGTGACAATCTGTACGAAGATGTAAAGTTGGGCGAATTGAGCAGTTGGGATCTTCGGATCAAACAAAAACCAGAGGTGCAAATTCTGTAAGTATGTTACTTCAGATAATATACGGATATTGATTCTGCATATTTATTGGTCGCAAATTTATGGCTGCCAGTGATATATTGTTTTTTTCCTTCATACTCATGCATATATCCAAGCCGTGTGTTTAGATATATATCAAGACGATTTAATCTGGATTTGTAAAATTTTCAAAAGACAGGACTTCCATTGCGCTTCTGTTCTTATTTCTGTATATTCTGCATCTGGTTGTTATAGCAATTTAATTTTGGACTTGCAAACTGTGGGTTGCAGGTGATCCCTAGGAAATTGGTACAGATTGTCACTCAATCAACCATGGCTAACGGAGACATTGGACCTGATTCAGCTAATTTGCTTGCCATCGAAGAGGTATTAGAAATGGATTCAATTTTCTTATGTATTTATTTTTTGGAATTGTTGGAAAAATGACTATTGTGGTTCTAAATAACTTAAATTGTCCTTTTCTCTTTCAGTTTTGGGTTCGAGGCTCATTTATTTCTCTTATCTGTTCTTTTTCAAAATTATAAAAGTTCTCAGTTTTTGAGAAGTTCACAGTTAATCAGCAGTTTGAGGGATCTATTCCGGGGAATTAACATATTAAATCTCATTTTGGACTAGGAAAGTACTACTAGATGTGATGATGCTGAAAATAAAAATATCATGATAAAGATACATTGACAGTATGCTTCATTGGAATTCTTCTCTAGGAGTGCAATGGGCTGGATAATAATTCAATTGCATATGGGTTTGCTTCTATTGATTGGGTTTCTTTAAATTATTGGACTGGTTGTATCAAAGATGATGCTTCCTGTGCTTCTCTGGGCACTCTCTTGATGCAATTAGGCAATTCAAATTGTCCATTTTTGCATCTGTTATTTGCTTTTGCAAATATGATAGTAATATGCACATTTGTGGTTTCTCTAGGTGTCTCCAAAGGAAATAATATATGAATCTCGTGGTGAGTCTTTCCTCTCCACCTCGGACTTTAGGTTTTCATTTGATGATCGATATATTTATCTTTTGAAAAATTTACCTCAACTTCCACAATTTAATTGTTTGCTGGACTATCTAAAGAAACACATAAAATTCTCAAGAAGTACTTGCCAACTGATTGGTTCTTTTTGTGTCTTTATAATAGAAAACTTATTTTGAAGAGTGAAAAGGTCGACTTTTTTCTTTTTATTTATTACATGTGTCATACACGTCTTTCCTCTTTTTCTACTGTCAAATTCCTAGTGGTTAGTGTTCACTTGTACTAACTACTTATTCAATTATTAATTACTGCAATTCTATTATACATTGTTCTAAAATCATGAGATTTAAATTGAACGTGATTGACTTTTAGTGAACTGAAATGCATATTATATATGTTTTGATGTAATTGCTTTGTATTGACCATTGATTTCTTGAGCATCTCTTATTTTCTTGTTCACGACAAGGGAGTTGTTTGGAAGTGGGTTGAAAAATAGCCTTGGTTTCACCATGTTTGAGCTATATAATGGTTATATTCTCCACGTTCTTATTCTACTCATCCTGCAGGTTCCACTGCTCTAGAATCCACCTCAGGGTCAAAACTTTTAAAGGCTCCTTAAATTTGTGGAATCATACAAACGAAAGCACATTCCATGATGACATTGTTCTATGTGCTCTTGGAGGGCTTATTAATCACATGTCAAGTCTGATGGTAAATATGATTCTCTGTAACACTTATGTTTGTCTTATCATATAAATGTTGCGATTAATGACATCCACTTCTAAACCGACCCGAACTGATAAATAACGATCCATGTTGTCTTTATACTCAAAAAGTACTTTCCTTGTTGCATGCTCAGAAACAGCTTCAGTTCTTCAACACGCTACTCAAGATTCTCTTGTTATTCCTCTTGAACTTGGCCGTGGAACTGGCGCGTTCAATGGCTATGCCATTGCCTATGCATGCTGTAAGTATCCCTTTTGATTCGTCTCCTTGACGATTATTCTTGAGCATAAAATTTTCGACCGTACCAGTAATTTCTTTCTAGTTTATATGTTTACTAGATTATAGATAGAAGAAATATATTTGGCAGTTGATTTGGTCTTGAGCGTTTACTAATAAACTGTGGTGATATTTTATTTTTTTGTTTTAAAATCAAGTTCATTGTTTTTTTTTTTTTTTTTTTATTCACATCATCTGCTTCTTGGAGGTATTAAAAAGGCGATATGATTAGAAAAAGAAAAGAAAAGAAGTTTGCTCATTTATTTAGAACTCCTATTATCTAAGATGCTTATTTGAATTAAGTTTGAAACAACAATATTTAGATATATCCACTTTTTGTTCAATATTTTATCAATTTTTCTTATCTAGGAGTAATTTAAAAATATTTATGAAAAGTCATTTTGAAAAGTATGTAATAAAGTTCAAGATGTTTTTCTGAAAGTTTTGAACATTTAAGACATGTCATTGAAAAGTTGTATAAACTCGAAATTAACTTTATCTATAAATTGTTTCATCAGGTGCTTCCCCATCTCATTGAAAAGGTGAACACTGGTTTTTCTAGACCGCCTTCGCCCTGGAGCGTGCCCCGAGAGATACGGGCTGCAAATAGCAACAGTGGCTGGAATTTCAGGACGA